TGGTCAATCTCCATCGAAGCATCGCCTCAAAAGATCGCAATTAATGAAGTTAGTCAGATTCAAGCGGTCTGACGAGCGAGAGTTACGTCGTACATCTGAGCGAACTTGTTTTGGTGTAGCACCGTGTGTCGCATGTTCGTTTAAATTCTCTTACAGCGGGTTAAAGTACTCAGATGGCGCACTGCTGCTCCAGAAAGGAATAACGCTTACTGCGATTGACAAATTGGCGCTGCACTAATGCATCGAAGCGAATCTATCAATTGCTGTGGTGCGCCCGATGCTTTTTAGTTATTGGTCTAATGCTGTTCATTGCCCTGATTTGTTGCCGACATCGAAATCAGAAGGTGACCTAGAATCTCAGCCGCCGGTGTGTGCTCTTTGCATGCTGTTCTAGGACTCCCCCTCCCCCCAATTGCTCTTCTGCCTTGCGTTGCCTTCGCATGCGATCTCTCCGTGCTCGAACGAATCCGACTCGCACTGCACCATTTGTTGGGACTGTGAAAATGTTTAATGTTGTTTAAAGTCGAGTCGGTACCTTATTCGCACAGGTGTTATACTCCTTATGCTGCCTAAACGTGCGCAGTCGAGAGAAGGCAAGAGGAGAGAAAGATGGAGCCAAATTCAACAGTCTTCGTTTCGTCTCCATCAAATCTATATCCCGTGTGATGCCGCAACGTGTACCACCAGAGGACAAACACAATTTAATGATTAACAACCTCCACCACTCACCATCCTGTGTGTGGTACTTGAACAGCTCTTAGTCAGCGCTCACTTGATTGCGATGTATGTGGGTTGAATTGAAGATGCGCTAAGTTTGTTTCTTAAGTGTTGCCGTTTTGTGTGGCCTGTAAGTATACTATTATCGTATACGTTTGAACGCGCATTACGTAGATGCTGTATACACGTGTACTTAAGTAGTTGCCTACTGTTTTATCTTTGTTATTGAGGTATCAAAAGGGCCCCGTGTTACTATGCCAGCTCTGATATATTTATCCTTATACCTACATAAACCTTAACAATAGATCTATCAGATCTATATACACTAATAACTCAACTAACGTATATCCTATGCAGATCTAATATAACATACATAACTAAACAACTATATCTATCACGATCTATTAACTTACATACAACTAACAACTTATCATCTATCATATTCCTGACTATAAATACATAACTAACAAGTATATTCTATCAGATCTATTATAACTACCATAACTAACAATATATCTATTAGATCTATCATAAACTAACATAACTAATACTATATGCTATTCAGAGTCTATAAACTACATAAACTAAACAAATCACTATCTCATACGACCTACTATAACTACAATAAACTAACAAATAATATCTATCCAGATCTATATAACTACATAACTAACCAACTATATCTATCAGACCTATAATAAACTACAAACTAACATACTATACTATCAGACCATATATTAACTACAATAATAACAATATATCTATCAGACCTATATAACTACATAACTAACAATATATCTATCAGACCTATATAACTATATAACTAACAATCTATCTATCAGACCTATATAACTACATAACTAACAATATATCTATCAGATCTATAAAACTACATAACTAACAATATATCTATCAGACCTATATAACTACATAACTAACAATATATCTATTAGACCTATAAAACTACATAACTAACAATATATCTATCAGACCTATAAAACTACATAACTAACAATATATCTATCAGACCTATATAACTACATAACTAACAATATATCTATCAGATCTATAAAACTACATAACTAACAAATATATCTATCAGACCTATATAACTATATAACTAACAATATATCTATCAGACCTATATAACTACATAACTAACAATATATCTATCAGAATTATATAACTACATAACTAACAATATATCTATCAGACCTATATATATAACTACATAACTAACAATATATCTATCAGAATTATATAACTACATAACTATTAATCTATCTATCAGACCTATATAACTACATAACTATCAATCTATATCTATCAGAGCTATATAACTATCAATCTATTTATCATATTTATATAATTATTATCTACCACGCAGTAACGTAACTACGTATACTGGTTGCCTCGCTGTGTAAACGCAGCTGCTGCAAACTCCACGCAATAATAATTCCGTATATCACAGAGAACAATATTATATATATACGTGCAGCGTGTCCCCCATCTAACATGTATATATTTACCTTTCTAAACTCCCAGTTCTCGCACGCCTGTGTAAACATATATCAACCCGTATAGAATAGAGCTACTGAGATAACAAGCCACCCCCATGTGACCACTCGCGTATATGAACGCACTGTAAATCGGTACGAGCAACATGCATGAACATCAATATCGTTGATATTTTGTGTAAACCGTTCGATTCACGCTTTTTACCCGTTTTCGCGAAGCTATTCCATGTCTAATAGATTTTGCCGACTGTATATTATCGGCAACTCCCCCGCACAAACTCTGTGAACATCTTAATTGATATCAGCTCCTTATTTGCCCACATAAACTCCGCAGTTATAGAATCATAAACTAACCTAAGAATTTTCGAACAATTTCGGTATGAAATATGTAGTCGCATCTACAATAACTCCTTCGCTACCCGCGTAAACTATTGTAACGATAGTTACCTATCGAAGCTTGGTACTTGTCAGTTCTGGTGTTAACTATAGCAGCTATAAACGTACCGAACTGTCGCGCCGTCACATCGCTGGCTTATCAACCGACTTTCGTACTCTTAGGCTTTTATGGACTATATAAACAAGGAGAGCGAGCATAGAAATTACTGCTCTCGTGGGCTGCCTACCTCGTAAATTCAGATACATCAATCACTGCTATGTGTTTATTATCGAGCAGGTGCTAATGACAGGATGATGTAGACATGAGTGAGGGCGATTTTCCTCATAGCGGCACGGCTACCTTAGCAGTGTTGCTAGGATTTGTGATTGTTTTGATATATCTGTCATGACCGAGAAGGAGAGAGAGAGAGAGAGAGAGAGAGAGAGAGAGAGAGAGAGAGAGAGAGAGAGAGAGAGAGAGAGAGAGAGAGAGAGAGAGAGAGAGAGA